TATCAACCCACCATTTGCTAGCGCTTTCCATAAGTTTGTTCCCTAAGATGAAGTATAGCGCCTTATCTGACCAGGTGCCACGTCCTGATTCTTCTGCGCCCTTCAACGCGAGTTCAACACGATCTATCCACGTAGAAACAGACACTTTCGGAGAGGGTGTGAACGCTGGCAATTCAAGGTCCTTCACACTCTTCTTCTTTGGCTGTCGTTCACGCCGATGCCCATGATCGCGGTGTCTTCGATGTCCATGGTGTTTACGCCGTCTACGTTGTTCGCGTTGCTCATGCCGACTACGTCCATCACGTCGATCATGTGACTCTTCGCTGGAGCTGCTGCTGTGATCGCTGCTCTCGTCATGTCGACCACTACCATGCCTGTGTCCATCCTCATCACTAGAATCTTCGTCGGAACTATCGTCATTCGATGACGGAGGACTACCACTTCCTACTTGCCTAGATGTCGATCGTCGGGCACCATCACGCCGTTCACGTCGTGCATCATGATGACCACCGTCTTCTCGTCCATGTCGGTTTCTATGGTGACCACCTTCATTCCGTATACGCCGTTCTTCCTCGTGATCGTCATTCTCATCACTCCAGGCGTCCTGTTGATCGTCGGCGCCACGTTCCTGCGGTTCTTCAGCTTGGCTATCACCAGCTCGTTCCCCCACTGCGGCGAGTTCATCATCTCGTCGTTCATACTGGACTCGTTCTCTGGACTCTGGTGGTGGTTGTAACCTCGCTACCATCGCCGTCAACTGTTCTAGCGCCGTCACCATGACCTTCAACTCAGATGAGGCTGTTACTGTCACGTTGGTGTCTGCCGTACTACTGGAGGCCACCGGTGTCTGTATCGATGCTGGCTCCTGCTGCTGACCTTCCACCACTACATCGCGTTCAGCATCACCACGTTCGATCCGACTACTATCACCGTCTACTTCAGTCAACAATTGCCTCGAAACGTTGGTACTGGGCGTCATATCGTTTATTAGAACTGCCATATCTTCATTGCCCTTCGTTTCTCCTTCCGTCACCGACGCTGTTTGGTGCTCGGTTTGTTGAGCGTTCTCCACGCTGTCTGATACCTCCACATCGTTCAGCTGTTTAGATGATCGTTTCCTTCGTTCCGCACTCGGCCTCGTTCCAGACGATACAGCCGTCACCGATCTCGCAGTCGTCATCGTGGCATTTCTCGTAATAGGCATCTAAGGTGAAGGATGCAAAGAGGACGCGGATGATAATAAATAGACGCCCCTGTATGACCACCATGTAACAAGTCTGGGGTCGCCTGCTTGCCGGCGGATCGCGTAGCCGCTCGTGCTTGCTGCGCTGTTCGCCAAGGTCCCCGTTGTCGGTCACCCCGTATGCAACTTAAACACGTTATTGGCCACCGTCAAGTAGCCGGGTTTTCCCCTATTTATTAATAACCAAACAATACACTGCACGGTCAATCGTACTCAAGCTCCACCCTCGCAAAGCCTCGGCTTACGCCACAATCTCCAAGCCACTCGGGAATACGCCTCGGGCGCCTACCCTCTCAATACGCAGCCACCACAGCGGACTTGGGAACCTCGTGCCCCCTTACCGGTCCTAGCTTCACGAAGCCACCCGCTATCTCGTACTCTTGCA